CCCCCCCCCACCGACTCATTAAGACAAACTGTTTTTTAAGGCAAAGCAGCTTTCACTACCACTAAAGCCAACACCCTGGAGCACGGAGAGAGGCGGCGGTGTGAGGGGGGTGACGGGGGACGGAGGGAAGGTAAAAGAACGAGAAACAAATAGAGCCGGAGCAACGGGGGTACAAAGAAGGTAGTAAAAATAAAAAAAGAACAAAAGATCAAGGTGAAGGAAAAAGTTTGAGAGAAAAAGGGCAGAGAGTAAGTAAAGCTAGACTGAGGGGGAAAGTCAGGCATATCACTTGCAGCTGTTGCAGGCTCATGTTCCCAGAATCCATTGCAACTTGGCACGTTTTTTCTTCCTAATGAGAAAGGCCGGTGTCATGGTTACATTAATATCATAACATTGAAAACAACAGCTTTGAATTGGAGAAAGAGGCACACAGAGAGAGAGGAAGAAAGATGAAGTCACTTAACAGTAATGACAATGAAATCGGTTTAATTATGAACAGCAGTAAGACACATTCGTCTTGGAGACAGACTGCTGAGTGTACAAACAACATGTTTGTTTGTTTAGGGATGTACAGCAAAGACATGTGGAAAGAATTTAACTTCTTCCGCTGCCATTAAAAAAAAGACTTTTTATTTTTGCTTGCCTCTGCTTTTGTCGTAGCCTCAAATCCATCAACCCCTCCAACCCCCCGAAACACCCACATTTCTCTTCCAATTTCTTCATAACAGCGAGCGTTGTCCAGACTCAGTGGAAACTGTGTGTATGTGTCTGTCAAATTGCCTGTTCCAGGTCGTAGTGTCGGCAAAACTGCTGAAAACATTTGCATATTTCATGTTTGGCAACCTGCAACGGCCAAAAACCTAAAGTAAAGAAAACAAACTATACAGATCCGTGTGTGTGTGTGTGTGTGTGTGAGTGTGTGTGTGTGTGTGTAAGTGAGAGTGGCAGGGCATGCTGAGGTAGATTAATACCGCTGCTCAGAGGGGGGTTCCTCCATTCAGGGCTGACTGATGTGCGTCCCAAATTGATTTATGAAAATGGCCCTTAATCAATTATGTGTGGAGAAAGAGGGGGAGAGGGGAAAGGAGAGAAGAAGAAAGGGAGGATCTGAGGGGGGGAGAGGGAAAGAAAGAGGATCGGGAGGATGAAGCTGCGGAGGGAAACTGTGTGAATGATGCTGCTCTGCTGAGGAATGTGTCTAATGGATGTCAGTTTATGCCACAGGTGTCCAACATGGTGGATGTGATGGTTCGTCAAAGACACACAATGCACTGTGGCTGATCCTGATGTATGCAGCCAATTCTGCAGGCGACACACTGAGCCCGCTGCATCCATAACATTCATCAAAGGACTTGTGACATAGTGTTGCTGATAGATAGCTTGGTTTTTACTTGTGCGGACAGAGAAAGGGTTAGGAAAACGCACACATGCTCCCAGTAAGTGCTCCTAGGAAGTATTGAGGATGAATCGGTGCAGCAGTGTAATGTGGTTTTTGTAGTAATAATGGCCCAGTTTTATTTGGGGGGGGCAGCGGAGTAGAGTGAAGCTGCAGTTGTTTAAAAAGCCCTTCCCCTGCCTTGCCCATTGTGCCTGAGACAGGGGTGTGTGTGGGGGGGGGAAGTGGGGGGTCACGCTGAGAGCTCGTTTCTCCTGCCTGTCAGGACTCTATCTGGGATCCAGCCGGAACTAATCAACTCCAATAGGCCTCCCCATTACCCAGGGTGCAATGGGCCACGGGCCGTGGGCTGGCCGGTGGGAAACAGAGAGGAGGAGAAGGGAGAGACCCCCCCCCCACCCTTACCCCACCAGTACCACCACTACCCCTCCACAGACACTCTGTACTCCACCAGCCCGTGCAGCACACACAACACTCCCACTGTTTCACACTGAAGCAATAATAAACACTTGCAATAATATTTTCACAGCAAGCAATAGCCTGCTTCAGATCAGAACCTCGCACAGCTGTGGAGCACACTCCTACGCACATGGGCACCCACTCACATGGATACACACACACACACACACAGTTTACTCGTCACGCACGTGTCACATCATGCTGGTTCTAATACTTGAGACATTTTAAAGGCAGTTTTGGTGCGAAAGCAGCAGAATGAATTCACAAAATGGCTTCTACACATAAACTGTATCAAAACAAAATCACTTACAGTATAAAAACTAAGATCTACTGTATGTTTATAATGTCCCAGTGGCTCATGTGGTAATTAAACCACTAAGATATCACAATAGCTGCGATCATTCAATAAAACCTGGTTTATTTTAATGGATCTTTTTGTTTTCCATTTCTATTTAAAAAGTTGGGGGAATAGAGTCCATTGCACGATGCCACCATCGTTTTGTTTACATTTAGTTTATTTTGTTGTTAGTGTTATGAGCAGTGTGGTTTTCTCAAATTAATAAAATATTGTGAAAAAAAGTTGGCAAATAGTTCTACATAAACTCGTCAAGACCCAAAATTAAGCCGTGCAGTACATTAATATTGCCCTCTAGTGGCAAAATACCCACACTGCATCATTTAAGGAAAAGTGAAATAAAGAATAAAGATGACTTCTCTGAACTATAAATGTAAAAAAAAAAAAACGACAGAGGGTGTGCTATTTGGATATGTTGTTTGGATTAAATGTGTTTTGCATAGTAATTATTAAAAATAAGCACAAGATATATATATATACACATATGTGTATATATATATACACCCTAAATTAGGGAAAATGTTGGTTCAAATGCTAAAAAACAGAAAAGAAAGTATGAATTATGAATGCATTTCTCTTCTACAAATAAACGTGTTCCTCCTCAGGTCGCTCAGGAGTCTAGATTATCTGAAACGTCTCTGGACACCATCAAAGGCGATCGTATGAGCCAGTGTGCGAGTGTGTGCACAAGCTTTTTAGTGTGTGTGTTTTTCTGAGTGACTTCAGGCTCCTTCACTGAGGTGAAGTGGGGGCAGATTTAAATGAGTAAAGAAAACTACCCCCCCTCCATGCCCCCAATACACCCCCACGTCATTGTGTGTGTGTGTGACTTTACTCCAATGTCATTGGGTGCATAATTATTTTTTTTATTGAAATACAAATTAATATCAATTGTGGTCTTTCCCTTGTCTTTAAGTCACGTGATGAATGTGTGAATATGAGTGTATGAGGAGTAGTGGAGGTGTGTTGAGGCTGCAGAGAGGCCCAGATAGAGATGGTGGTGTTGGGGGGGGGGGGGGGGGAGTCACATGGGAACCTTCCCCATGCCCTGTGGTGGCGGTGGAGGGTCATTGAGAGGCACTGGGGTGGGGTTAATCCTCATTCACCCCGTCCTTCACTCAGCCGGGCCATGCACAATAAGCCCCGCCCACCTCCCCCTGAGTCTCCACGGTGACCTCTGACCCCACGTTTACCGCCGCTGTCCCTGGCCCCTTTATGCCTCCATCCTGTTATTATCTGCAATATTTACTCCTTTTGATTTCCCTGCTGGCCATTGTTGCTGCTCACACAGCACTCCTGACTCACTGGAAAACTCAAGTGCTCTCCTTCCTACTCCAGCGTCACCCCCGAAACCTTAAAACCCTCAGCAAACACTACCTGAAGTGGAAATGAGTCCGCTTACGACCACTTATTTATGGCTTTTTGATTCAGGCCACAAGGAGGAGCCCAGAAGTCAATGAATGGGCGAAGTCACAGAGGTCCTGTTCCAAGAGGCATCACATGTAACCACAACATCCCTGGTTCAATTCCAGCTGTTCCAGCACACATTCAAACAACCAGGGGCCCGGGGGCTAGGGTGGGTGTTAAACCTGGATCTCTATGTACCTGTTGGAAGTTAAGCCGGACATGTTGCTTGTTGCTCTCTGCTTCCTCCTTTTAAAATTCAGGATTTCTAAACTGTATCAGAAAAGAAAGAGAAAAAGTTGGACACCACTTGACATTCGTTTAAGTATTCAAAGTAGTTTCTTGATCGTGGCTGTTTGACCTGCTGCAGTCTGAAAGGCACCAGAGATGTCCAGCTCTCTCTCTACTGAATGACTCCAGATTGCCATCTGCTGACTTTGCACTATTTCCTTCTGCAAACACAACCCAGGGCGTATAACATGAATGAAAAGAGGAACGCATCCGTCAAGACATAAATGAGAGAGTCTCAACATCAACTGGTGGTTGAGAATCCTGCAGGTCTGTCATGATGCGGCCAGGCTACAGCAAACTAGATTAGAAAGCATAGAAATGTACTTGGAGACTAAGCATAAGTAAGTAAGTGGAAAAGCAAGACATGAGTCATAGTCTTGGATTGAGGATGGAGGGAGAAAGAGAAAAGGCACCGATTGCTCCAGTTGTTTCATATACTTACATGATCCAGTAAATCACAGTTAAACTAAACTGTCTGTATAAATTTATAAGAAAAAAAAAAAAGAGATGATCATAAGGACCACAGAAGTCGAGGTAAACAAAGACTTCAGAGAAAAGAAGAAAAGCAAATATTTGTGTGTATGTATGCATACCGTAAATAGCTACGAGAGGCTATACTTTAGCTGAAGCCACAGCAGAGAACACTGAGTGGGTTGGAGCAACTCTTTTCCCCTCCTCTCTCACTCTTGCTCCTATTTCTTTGTGACTTATTGCAATTCCCTTCTCCCTTTGAAAAGCACAGGTTCATCACAAACACACCAAGTGATATCTAAACATGCCTTAAAGACATGAAAGCAGACCGTAACTAAACCAAACCACAAAGACAGACAGACGGACGGCGCTTAGCTTGGACCTTCATGCAGGATTAGATGCAGCTAGGTTTTAGGGGGCCAGTGCAACACATGGCCTCATTAACTAACACTTGCATTGGTGAAGAATGACTAAGTAAACAAATAGGATAGTAATAATTGAGATTAGTGCACTTTAAAGAAGGTAAGAAAAGGAACATATGATTTAAACAAGCATCTATGACACAGATTTATATATTTCTGTACAACAACATGTGCTACAAAAGAGTGAGGACAAAAACACAAGTTCATTTTAAAACACGTTTATTGAGTCATTTAAAATGTATGTGTAGATAAAATACTAGCAGCTTGGGTTGAATAATTACTCCTCTTGTCATCTCACATGAGCAGACAAGGCAAACCATCCCTCTCTCTGTTTCTCCATCTGTTGTGGAAAAGAAAAGATGTTATAGACCCAAGCGGCAACAGTCCTTCCATGTAATCTGTAGTGTGTGTGTGTGTGTGTGTGTGTGTGTACCTGTGTTTTTCCATCCCTCAATTCTCCGCCAAGACTGTGAGAAGACACTTCAGAACCAGCAGATCTGCAGCACAGAAATATAATAAGAATGTGTCAAGAAAAAAAGTCTAGAAATCCAGTTAACTAGCAAGAACCACAAAGCATGTGGACGACTAACTCCCATCCGTCATGAGGAAACATCCCCATCCTCTAAAAAGAGCAACTCACCGTCTCTCAACACCACCAGTCTGTGACGGGAGCTCCTGTTCAGGCAGCAGCATCGACCACTCAGGACTTCCTCCTCCTGCTGACAATATGATATGATACAAGTATAATTTTCAGAGACAGGCCTTTACACACATGGACAGAGACGCGTCATGTTGAGCCATCGTACCTGCTGAATGTGGGCTGAAGGCCGAGGGAGGGATGGGGGAATTAGAGGGAGAAGCTTTGGCTGTAACACTTTGCTTCTGTTGCTCGATAAGCTCCAGCAGGCGACCCCTCGCCGCTGCACTTTGTCTGTTTAGCTCCAGGAGGCGCTGTTCCACACTGCTCACATGGAGGGTGTTCAGTGATGTTGCCTGAGCAAGAAGACAGGGGAAAGAAATGATCATCACCCCTGAAAAACAGGATGAATGTGTGTTTCTTGAGTTTCAAACTACCCAATATAGAAAGGCTAACAGACACAAAGGTTTGCTGATCTATCTAGGGGAGAACATGTCTGTGGATTTGGTAGAACACACGTTCACTTTACATTTCAAGGACATTTCGAGGAAGACACCTTGAGACTTAATCTCACCTGATTTGTCAGCTGCTCTCCTTCCGCAGCCTGGACATGCCGACTGCTTCTCCCCGTGCTGCTGGATGCTGACATCCTCCTCTCTCCAACACTTTGGGGCGTGACTCTCCCCGTGCTGCTCCTTCTCTGCTCGTTGCTGCCGTTCGATGATTCTCCAACCCCTGACCCGAGGCGCCTAGCCTGGCTAAACTGGGCCCTGATCAGCTCGTTCTGTCTGTTCAGCTGAGCGATCTCTGCCAGCATGACCTCCGGGGAGAGCTGTGAGCCGAGAGGGTCAGAGGTCAGCGATAACGAGGAAGAAGAGGGGAGGCTGGTGAGAGGGAGGCTGGAGGCTGAGCTGCGGGAGCGGACGTCCTCACAGGAACGCAGGACATCTTCAGGAGGAAGTTCCTGGTGCGGCGGTACAGGGTGAGTCACTGAAGAGGGGGGGGGGCAAAATGAGGCGTCTTACAGCTGATTGAGTAAGATGGCACACAGGTGAAGTCAGATTACTAAAAAGAAACAGGCTGTTACCAGGAGTTGGCTGCCAGTTGTCTCTCTGTCGAGGAGGGGAGAGCAAGACACCTGGAGAGACTTGTAGTTGTTCAGGATCTCGCTCAGCAACTGGAGCAGACTGATAAACTGTTTACAACATGAAAAAATAACAATTATGTACAATTTACTGCACAAATATCCACGCACAGACAAACACACGCAGTATGAACCTGCAGCTTTGGCATCAGACTCCTGAGGGGGGTCAATGTGGGCCTCCAGCAGTCCAAGTCCCCCCATCAACAACACCACTGAGTCCAACTTCTGCTCCAGCTCTGCAGTCCGCTGCTGCGACTCAGCCTGAAGGAAAACAGGCGAGCACAGTTGGAATCTGGACAACAAAGTGGCGTCGGGCTGCGCAGGTGAGCTCTGTCTCACCTGCAGGGCGGCGGCCTCTTCTCTCAGAGTCATCGTCTCAGCAGTGAGCGCATCGATCAGCCCGCGCTGCTCTCTCAACACCTCCTCCAGTCTGCTCCTCTCTCCAGCCTCTTCCTGAGCTTCCTCTTCCCTCTGGAGACAGTTATTCATTTACTTGAAACTAAAGCCAGTAACGACCATGTTAGTGTTTAATGAATACCTCATTGGATCAGTTACAGTACCTGTTTGAGGAGGTGCACTAAACGCCCCAGAGTGGAGACCAAGGCCACAGAGAAGCCAGTGAGGCCTTGGGTTTTCTTCTGACTCTGTGCTGAAGCTGGTACAGCGGCAGGAATCAGAGTATCCAAGTCAGCCTCCACCTGACCCAGCATGGTCTGCAACAGGCCCAGACTGGACTGGTCCCCGCTAAGAGAGGCCACCGAGGAGCCGTCCAGCGCTGAACTCTGAGGAACACACTTCCTGTTCCTGCCGGTTCGATGACTCGTTCTGCCTGATAAACGCATACAGAGGAACACTCATTTCCTCTGTTTACTGCAGCATCTAGCAGTTCATAGGATGGACCACTGTCGCAGAGTGACACATTATGAAGACACAGATACCTCTCTTACATTACCTGACTGGTTGAGAGGCGTCTCAGGATTCAGGACCTGAGAAACCAGGACTGACGGTTCCTCCAGACCTTCCTCTGACCGGCTTTGTCTGGACTGAACACGCTGGACAGCCATTGTGGCATTGAGAGCTGAAACCAGGTGAGACGAGTTTGTATGCAAAAAAATCGTGATGACTTCATGAAAGACAATTTAAATGTTGTCCTCCTTTTCATCCTACCTGTCTGGGCTGGTGCTCTGCCTGATGTGCAGGGCGTTACAGGAACATTATCCCCGTCTGCCTGCTCAGAGTGAGGACGACGGACTTTCCGTTGCTGTATCACCCTCCCCCGAGACTTCATTTTTCGTACATTGGCCCTGCAAAGAAAAGTATCACAAGCAACGTAATGGCGTCAGCGGGATCAGAAACACGAGTAGTAAAAAGCAACAGCTGCATGTATTATATTTCCACCATAACAAGGAACGCCAGTCAGTTTCTTATCTCAGATTGGGGTGAATGGTACTGGTTTGCAGGTACAATATTTCGCAGGCATTACCTATGGATTACATGATAGTCTGAACTGCCAGCAGGACCGCTATCTTCATCACTGTAGTCTTCCTCTGAAGCTTCAAGTTCATTAAGAGCCTGAAAGGAAACATTTTACACATTAATACGGAACAAAATCTGCAAGAAGGTAAATTGTGATTCGAGAAGAAAATAGACATATGGATGAAAGCTGATGGAAACATGAAGTAACAAACCACACATGTATGGCTTTATCTTGGCGCGCGCACACACACACACACACACACACACACACACACACTCGCGCTCGCGCACACACACACACACACACACACACACACACACACACACACACACAC